AGCCTGTTTGAGCATGAAAGGGATTTATTAAGTGCACCCCTCTTGTTGTTTTGTAAGCTCTCACTGCCCCTTAGTTCAAATATGGTATACTTTCAGGGAAGGTGCACACTGCCTGGATCTACCTCTATTGTAATCAGTGTATGGACTTACCTCTATGGTAATCAGTGTATGGACCTACCTCTATTGGAATCAGTGTATGAACCTACCTCTATTGTAATCAGTGTATGGACCTACCTCTATTGTAATCAGTGTATGGACCTACCTCTATAGTAATCAGTGTATGGACCTACCTCTATTTTAATCCTCTATAGTAATCAGTGTATGGACCTACCTCTATTGAAATCAGTGTATGGACCTACCTCTATTGTTATCAGTGTATGGACCTACCTCTATTGTAATAAGTGTATGGACCTACCTCTATTGTAATCAGTATATGGACCTACCTCTATTGTAATCCTCTATTGAATTCAGTGTATGAACTTAACTCTATTGTAATCAGTGTATGGACCTACCTCTATTGTAATCCTCTATTGTGTTCAGTGTATGGACCTACCTCTATCGTAATCAGTGTATGGACCTACCTCTATTGTAATCAGAGTATGGACCTACCTCTTTTGTAATCAGTGTATGGACCTACCTCAATTGTAATCAGTGTATGGACCTACCTCTATTGTAATCAGTGTATGGCCCTACCTCTATTGTAATCAGTGAATGGCCCTCCCTCTATTGTAATCAGAGTATGGACCTACCTCTATTGTAATCCTCTATTGTAATCAGTGTATCGATCTACCTATATTATAATCAGTGTATGGACCTACCTCTATTGTAATCAGTGTATTGACCTACCTCTATTGTAATCAGGGTATGGCCCTACCTCTATTGTGTTCAGTGTATGGACCTCCCTCTATTGCAATCAGTGTATGGCCCTACCTCTATTTTAATCAGTGTATGGACCTACCTTTATTGTAATCAGTGTATGGACTTACCTCTATTGTAATCAGTGTAGGGCCCTACCTCTATTGTAATCAGTGAATGGCCCTCCCTCTATTGTAATCAGTGTATGGACCTACCTCTATAGTAATCAGTTGATGGACCTACCTCTATTGTAATCAGTGTATGGACCTACCTCTATTGTAATCAGTGTATGGACCTACCTCTATTGTAATCAGTGTATGGACCTACCTCTATAGTAATCAGTGTATGGACCTACCTCTATTGTAATCAGTGTATGGACCTACCTCTATTGTAATCCTCTATTGTAATCAGTGTATGGATCTACCTCTATTGTAATCAGTGTATGGACCTACCTCTATTGTTTTCAGTGTAAAGTGATTGGTTTGTAACATAGAGCTAGTCAAAAGTTTCAGGTAATTACTCATTGGTTCACCCTGGTATAATTAAGAGGTGTCAGTAAATATGAAAATGCCTTTTTATATGATTATTATAAAAAGAAACTTCATGAGTTATCTGTAAAATATTCACCAATGTTAACCAATATGCCTGAATTGACAGAATTTATCCTCCAACAATGAATGTAGGAATCCCTATGCATTCTCTAACACAAAAGGATCGAGATGAAATTAGTGACTTACCTTAACCTTTAACCTCTGATGTTCACGTTGATGATGATGCATCGATGACCTTGACCTTTGATTCTGATGCCAGTGTTGATAAGGTATCACTCAATTTGTTGACCTTTCTAGAGGATTGGAGACAGAATGGCCCTTGTAAGTTGACACCCTGTTGCAATTCCTATAATTACCACTGCGAATGCATGTGGTATACAGAATCCCTGCTTATAGCTCATCAAATAATTCCATTGGAATTCAAATCTTTTCCCAGTTTTTCCAGTCTTTTTCCACTTGGCTGGTCTAAATTCTGCCATGTTGTACCTCCTTTCAAGGCATTGTATAAGCTAGGTCCTCAACTGTAAACAGAGCATAGCATCAAAGTTCTTAAAATTAAGTTTGTCAGGGTTGGGTCCCCCATTATAGAGCAGTTCAGTTTGTCAGGGTTTGGACCCACATTATAGAGTAGTTAAGTTTGTCAGGGTTGGGATCCCCATTATAGAGTAGTTAAGTTTGTCAGGGTTAGGACCCTCATCATAGAGTAGTTAAGTTTGTCAGGGTTGGGATCCCCATCATAGAGTAGTTAAGTTTGTCAGGGTTGGGATCCCCATCATAGAGTAGTTAAGTTTGTCAGGGTTGGGATCCCCATTATAGAGTAGTTAAGTTTGTCAGGGTTGGGATCCCCATTATAGAGTAGTTAAGTTTGTCAGGGTTGGGACCCCCATCATAGAGTAGTTAAGTTTGTCAGGGTTGGGACCCCCATCATAGAGTAGTTAAGTTTGTCAGGGTTGGGACCCCCATTATAGAGTAGTTAAGTTTGTCAGGGTTGGGACCCCCATTATAGAGTAGTTAAGTTTGTCAGGGTTGGGACCCCCATTATAAAGTAGTTAAATTTGTCAGGGTTGGGACCCCCATGGAAAATGATTAGGCACATTATGGCCCTGCGGATCATTCCTGGTAATGGATCAAATTTATTCACCCTCCATTGTGATATTGTTACAGCTGTGATATTTCCTTAATGCAATGTCAATGAAAAGTGATATACCCTGCAGACTGATTTGACCGTAAAGGGATTATAACAAATATGTTTATACTAGAAGCGTGGTCATTAAATACATCCCCTTCAAATCTACTTGAAGGGGAAAAAAATAAAAGCAGAATACACTATTTTTATGATGCTTCAAAATATTGAAATAATTCACGAGGTTATCAATCACGTGTTTTACATGAGAGTGAGCCTGGAAAAAACATGCACACTAGACTTAGCAATTTGTTAAAAAAAAAAACAGAACTAACATGGAACGGAGCCTTTAATTGAAACACTACATTTTTATATATAATTATTGGAAAACCGCTGAGATGTCGAAACATAAGTTGATCGGAGATTTTCTGGAATCAGAATTAGCTAAACTTTCTTCGTTTGATTTCTGCAGATCATCCACTCATTCCAAGCGGTACGGAGGGAGACCTTCATGGGCTTGTTCACCCCAATAAATCAATTGTTAATTAATCGGCATTATAAACACCAAGCTACCTTTGATGCTACTTTTCCAGTTTGATATTTTCAGGATTTACAAAAAAAAAATCTGACCCCAAAAACGTATATGCGCACTATACCCGCAAATTTACGGTTTATATATAATTCATACTCGCCAACTGTCCCCATTTCGGAAGGAGATTCAATTTTGGAGCCTAAAGCTAAACTATTCCCACTTCCTAAGATCTGATGATTTCATCTGAAAGAAAAGCTCAAAAGATGACATTTAAAAGTGGGTTTTTTTCCCCAGGGTGTACATACACACGTTTTATTTATGTTTTTAATTCTGAACACCTGTAATATCCCCATAGACATTTGGAAATGTTGGCAACTATGATAATTTTGCCTTTAACTTGAAGAAATATTATCATTATTAGTTCAAACAGAACTTATAGGTACCATATGTAACAGTTTGGCTACTCTCTCGGTCCACTACTGGGAGGACTTGGGCGTGGTTATACCATAGGAAACACATTTTACTTGCTTTAGCCCACAGGGACCTGAGAATCTGTTACAGCTATATATTACTTTCAATCTAAACTCTTAAAACTGTAATATTACTCTAAACACCCTAGTTTAAGTCCAAATATAGCTGTAACAAATTCTCAGGTTCCTGTGCTTTGGCCTTATAAATGTGCTTACTCATAAACCAGTCACTTGAACTGAGGAGAGTTGGCCTGGCTTCTGTGTAGATTTATATATTATTCACTATTCCAGTTTCTATGTATTTGTTGTTTTGTTATTTGCCTTCAAGATACTATGTAAGTTAGTCCTCTTCGTGCTGGTTTACACATAAGGCCATCACCAGAGATTTCCATTTATGTCTTCTTAAGGACCACTGGTGTATTTGTCCACATGTCCAGTCTTTCTCTTTTAGTTCTTTCTCAACAGACCATCTCCAGGTTTCCTTTGGTCTTCCTCTCTTCCTTTTTCCTGGTCAGGTGTCCATCTCCTTGCTACCCTAGGGATGGAATCTGGGTGCATTCTGGAAATGTTGTCCAATCCACCTCCATCCTCTTCCCTCAACTTCTTGTGAGAGAGGAATGGTGTTTGTCCTCTGATACAGCTCCTCATTTGAGATGGTCTGTGGCCAGAAGAGAGTTTGGAAGACATTCAGCTTGTTGTTAATAGCATTTGGTGTCTGCCAGGACTCTGCACCAGACAGAAGAACACCCAGTATGTTGTAACTATAAATAAGCAATACAATTATTGAATTGAATTGAATCGTTATTGTACAGTAAAAATATTAAGGTAGTTTAGACAACAGAACGGTAGGATGGTCCAGAGACGTCTATATTACATATATATATACGTCTCTGGGATGTCATATGAAACAAACTATTAATCTATTTTGGCCTTATACAATGAGACCTTGAATTAGATGCGATGTTTATCTCCATGTCAATATATTTCCAAAACAATTTTTATGATTCCTCCATCTTTTATACTGATATGACATCGCCCTGTCATCTTTCCCAACTTTCATTTCCACCGTTAATTAAATCCGGTCAGTGTAAATATTTCCAATACCAAACACCAGATGAAATGTGGAGATTAATTTTCGTTGAAAATGAATAATAGAATTCCATATTTTTCGGCTGTGTTTCAACAGTTCGATACACCAAATCCAGACTATACAATTTGTTTTATCTTTTCGGACTTTGATAAATAGCACCAACCTTATGACATTTTGGGGATATTTCCAATCTTCTCCATGTTCTATTGATGTTGGTAACCTTGTTCGTTAACAATTCCTCCATTTTGTGTGCACGTGATAATTGTGCTCGGTAGAGAGAATTTGTTCCTCATAACGGACACAGTACTGAGGCTCCCAAGGGTTACATATACCCATGAATGTATCAGCGACACACAAAACATCCGAGTGTCGCTTTTATTTTAAGAGATATGTTTTTTTATTTATTCTCGGTCTTTCTTTTCATAAACAGCTTTTTAATTGTATGTAAATACCATTTTTCTCTGAGATAAACCCTACAGTTGACGGTACTCATATAGGAACACAGGGACCTGGTAATTTGTTACAGCTATGTTTGACCTAAACTAAGGTGTTCAGAGTAATTTTACATGTTTAGGGGTAACATGTGAAATTACTCTGAACACCCGAGTATATATGATCATTGGGATGTCGTTTTTACCGAAAGTCTATCTAAACCCCTAAAACATGTAAACACTTTAGTTTAGGTCCAAATATAGCTGTAATAAATTATCAGGTCCCTGTGTATATGAACGGTACTGTTCTAAATGAAAATTTAAATAGTTTTACATAATAACAGCAAAGTTTATCAGTTTACCTCTTGTATGTTGCTCACTAACCAATTGAAAAAAAATAACGAGGAGAAAAAAAGGGAAGTGGGACGGTGCGACAATTAGGTCGGTGGAATAGGTCCGTTTCATAATTATTATAATAATAAACTAACACTAATATTGCATATATAACGTGTTATCTGATAGTGTGAAAACAATAGTTGTGTACATACAGAGGATACAGTTATTAGCAGCAAGCATGCAATCTCCATGAACAGGATGGTTAAATAATACTTTCTCCAGAGTAGCTCCTAAGTCCTGTATGCATTTTTCAATATGCATGGCAATACATCATTTAATTTAACTGAAGATGTATATTTTGCAGGTACCACCAGGCACATGGATATTTTGATGAAAAAAACTACAATTTATCAGGAAATGTCGAAACTGTCTTGATATGGTCCGTACGATCACCTTGATGTGAAAACATATATCAAGGGCTGCGCTCGCTCACAACCTTAAAGTAAAACTTTTTACATTAAGAAGTGATAGTGAAAGCATGTAAGCACGCAGGGTTGAGCATTTTATTTATATAAATATATAAAAAAAAAATCAATTTAGAGATTTTTCCGCTTTTTCCTTAAAGTATTTGTTTTCTTTACTTTCTTTAACATACGGGTGCAACGCTGTGACAGTTCTAATTGTAAATCTCCTAAATTAAAAAAGAATTTTTTTTTTTACATAAGGGTGCGGATAAACCCTAATTGAGTTCATTATTACGGTCTTTTTCTTCATGAAAAGATAATGCTACATGTTACTCCTTGATGCAAAAAGTCACCTTACCGTGAACAATTTTACATTAAGGGAGGGTTGTTGCAACTTTTATTGTAAAAAGTTTGTTTTTTCTACTTTGAACATAATGGTTGCTACCCTTTTATATACAAAATAATCATTAAAAAAACAGATGGGAAAAAATATTTCAGAAAGAAAAAAATATCTTTTTCGTAAATCAAGAGTCTGAAAACACCTGTCGCTTAACAAACACGTGATTTACTTAAAATAAAATAAAAATGTATTGGGTAAGCTCACAATGCACCAAAGACATGTAGAATTCTCAGAAGATTCCAGCCTAGGACCCCTGTGTCAGTTGTAGCGTGGAGTTGGACACCACTTTTCTTTTTAAAAAAATGCATCCGCTCCTGGACTGATGTATTGATTTCCTGAAATCTGCACCGTTCAGGGGACACAACCTTTTGACCCTTCCGTACAGGTCAGTCTAATAAATCATAGAAATATGACGAGTTTGTTTACTCCGCTACGTCCCTGTACTGGTCATACAATCACCAGTTCACGTTCCTGGGGTCAATCAGACCAGTAGTGTTCATTGTTCCACCTCACCATCTAATAAAACCCGTCAGTATAGCTTAGAAATTCGAGTTTAATGGGCAAAGGGGGACAACTCAAATTTAAATTTATCACTAAATCGACGAAACAGAAAGAAGTTTGCTCTGAAGGCTTTGCTGATACTGCCAGACAGATGTTAATGTTCATCAGTAACCATGTTTGTATTTTATGACGTCACGATAAAGGTTACTTCTTTCTCGTGAATAACCTTGATGGGCCAAAGCGCTCGGAGGGTTTAACGTCAACAGCTTAGGTCGTCTAAGGACGTGTTCAGATATGGTCAAATATGCGGGCATATTATATACTTTATATACACATTTATAAGCGGAGACGAAATAACGACAGAGCAGCAGTTATATTTGTTATTTTTTAAAAGCAATCTGTTCCTTTATCAAGACAACTAAGCATGTTCTGTGCTTTCCTGTTGAAAAATAAAAGAGCGGATCGTTCCGAAAAAAGTGACACATATAAGCATAGTACCTTTCTAGGAAATTCGTCTCTTCGTCGAAACACAAATAACAGAAACTATAACATTAGTATGACATAGATGAAATAATTACTACTAAAATGGTATGCTGTTGTTAATATCAAATCGAAGGCTATTATTATAAAATTAAGAAACAATCATTACATTCTAAATTCTGAAGTTAATGAGTGAAATGTCTTTCTTTTTCTTCCTCCATTTTTAAAATATGCAGCATCAGTGAAGAGATATCAACCTGGACACAGCCCCCTTTGTTTTACTGAATTCTACCTGTGTAAACGAAAGCGGCCCAGACAATGAGTGTTGTCTCCCTTTAAACAAGTAATCAAATGCAATTAATCCTGTAAAATTTGGGGTGGCATTTTTACCGAAAGTCGATCTGGACCCCTAAAACATGTAATATTTCTTTGAACACCTTAGTTTAGGTCCAATTATAGCTGTAACAAATTGTCAGGTCCCTGTGGGTCCCGTCCCTTGATTGATTTAGGTTGCGCCTTCAACTCAATATTTTCTCTTAATTTTGTTATAGTTTGTAGTTTGTTGTCTTCAGAGCTTTCTTTTTTCCAACTATAACTCATCATGATTCATTACATACATTTTTCATTCCACGTATTATAAATGCTCCAAACTTCTATTATTTACAATTCAAAAAGAGCTCACTCATATGGCAAGCCAAGTTGTCATTTATTCATGGAGCAATGTTGATCCAGTACTAAACCAAATTATTTATCAAAAAATTTAAGATATCTTATAAACATATAAGATATCAAATTTTAAGTTTATGAGATATCTTATATCTTTTATAAGATATCTTACATAATTTATAAGATATCTTTTATAATATATAAGATATATTATAAAAGATATAAGATATCTCATAAACTTTTCTTTATAAGATATCTTATATAATATATAAGATATCATATCTTTTATAAGATATCTCAATTAATTTTCTTTATCAGATATCTTATATAATATATAAGATATCTTATATAATATATCAGATATCTTATATCTTATGAGATATCTTATAAAGAAATGTATATAAGATATCTCATTTATTATACAAGATATCTTATATAAGTATATAAGATATCTTACATAATTTGGTCAAGTACTGGATCAACATCAACATTGGGAGAAGGCGTTAATAAGTTGTTATAACTTGTGCCTAATCCCTTGTCTAATTTTGGTAATAAATATGTTTAAACTATCAACATTGCTCCATGAATATATGACAACTTGGCTTGTCATACACTCACATTCATTTTTGTCTCTACTCTTGGCAGTCTGTAATTGTGTTCACATACGGTTGGGTAGAACTTAATTGGTACGGTCTCCCCTTTGCCTATTCACCCTGCTTTTGAATTGGTAAATTGTTTCACGGTTAAAAAAAATCTCTGGCAGTCTGTTCATGTCGTTGATGTCTATCGAATTGAAACAGCGGGCTCGAATATTTAGTTGACTTTTTGTTTTATTTTGAAATTATGTCCTCTGGTTCTATAATTAGTTTCCATGTCAAAAAATCCATCGCCCTCACGTTTGTCGATTCCTTTTATTATTCTAAATGTTGATATCATGTCTGCTCCTTATCGTCTGTATTGTAGGGATGGGGCTCCAGTTCAACAAATGAGTTATATCCTTAGCTAATTATGTTGCTCTTGGTTGAACTTTTCCCAACAAGACATTGTCTTCTCATTTGAAAAGACTTACTGTATATTCTAAGTGTGGACGGATTAGTGATTTGTAAAATGGGAGGGACATATCTTTTGTCTATTTTTCAATTTCAATAAATTTTATTGTCAAAGAACAAAGGGATTGGGCAGCAGGCATAGCCTATTTAAGCCCTCTCCAAACATAGTAACAAACAGTGGTACAAGCATAGACATAGACATTAGAACACATACAGACACATATAAACAAGTTGGTATTATCGAATGAATAATCAAATTAAGGGAAACAACTAATATTACTCATTTTTATTATAATTGAATCTAATGGTTTAAATTCTTTTGTCTATATGTTTGAAACTTTGTTTGTATGAGTCCTGCTATCTGGGAAGTCTTTTAACAAAGTTTCCCTCTTTTTTCTTTAAATCAACTTATATGTTGTTTCTGTCATTTTCCGGGCAACGTATGTTGAACATTTTTGTCATCTGCAAATAGCGTAATTAACGCTTGAATTGCTGTTAGGTCATGTATATACACGAGAAAAAACAAGAATGGTCCCAGGAGGCTTCCTTGAGGGACACCACTACTTACTTTTGTTCATGATGAGGTTTGACCATTTCTAACAACTCTTTGTGTTCTGTTGTAAAGAAAATTCCTAAACCAGTTTAGTGCTTTCCCTTTAAAACGTAGCATTTTAAATTTGAATAACAGTTTTTGATGTGGAACTGTGTCGAAAGCTTTTTGAAAGTCTAGATACATCAGGTCCACAGGTTCACCTGGACGTATAGGACGTCTAGAGTTGGTAACACTGTTTTGATTGACTTTGTAAAAACATATTGGTCCTTACTTATCAGGTCATTCCCTTCCATAATTTTCTCTCTAATGATAGATTCGATTATTTTACATACTTTCTTCTTCGGCTGATGATAACTTATTTATATGTCA